AACAATGAATGAATTATTTTTTTAAAGCAAACTGAGATAGTGTAGGGATGAAAATGTGCAACAATGAATGAGAAAAGGCAACTTTTCTGTAAACTTTCATTAAAATCAAAAGGAAACCATTTTAAAAAAACCCAAAAAACGAATGACAGACTAGTGATTTGAACCCAGCACCTGTGGGACAAAGGCAGTCTGTTCCTGTAGTGCATACAGTCGTGAAGACCCTGTGGGGCAGTCTGACCCTGTTACATGGGGTTGCTGTGAGTTGGAATCAACTTGACGGCACCACCCAACTATAACAACAACAGCAATAACAAATTAATAAGTCCAGATGAAAAGACAGCTGAGGCATTATTTCCCACGAGTCTTCTCTTCCCATTTAAAACAAATTTTTAAGGTGACAGTTTCCAAACTTATGTATAAGTACAGAAAATGGTGGAGGAAGCCTCTAGTGCACTCATCATCTGGTTTCAAGAATGATCAATATTTTGCTAACTTTTCCATGTATCTTCTATTCCCTCATGTTGAAAACAACAACTGGAAAATTTTAAAACAAACCCAAAGACTCATATTTTCATGATCATTTCCATAATTGGAATGAAAAGGTGTATGTGAGGTCTCAAGCTGCCCTCATTTAGCTATGTTCCTGCAGGAAGCAGAGACTGGAAAGTCAGCCTGGGAACTCTGTTTTCTGGAGGCCCAGGCGGGGAGAAGGGGCACATTTTTCAGAGGCAGAGAATCCCAATTTGCTCCCAACCTCTTCCTGAACAATAGCTCCCCTGAAATTCCTCCAGCCTCAGGATTTATATGATTCTCTAATTAAAAAAAAAGTAAAATCAAGTATCTAGCTTCCTCTAGTTAGAGATATCTGGGGAGTTTTGCTTCTGAAACTATTTTTGGCATGAAAATGTCACCCAAGATGTTTCAAGCTCTTAGGAAATTTTTAAGTCTTGAAAGCATCTGATTATATGCTAGAGCCATGACTAGAGGCCAAATGATAGAAGTAAATCATCACCCAAAGCAGTCATTTCCCATTATGATTCTGGTCCCCTACAGCTTTCTTGTTTAATGCATGTGGCCAAAGATAACAACTGGGACTGGTATGTGAAAAGTGGTGGAGCAGGTGGGTTGGGGAGGAGTGGCAGGTGCATGGTATGTGAGGAGCCTGACTGACTGTTCTTCCTTCAACAGCACCCTCTGTTTAGGCTTTCTCCCACAGCACAGCATGCTGGGAGATCCCCAGAGGGCTCTAGGAGAAAGCTGCCATTGTGCGTTTTGCTGATGGGTTCTGCTAAATGGGGGGCAGTGGGGAAGGGGGCCAGGGAGGCAAAGTTTTGTTTTTCTGTGTTCCTTTGTGCCACTGACAGACATCCCAGGGTTATCTGGGAAAATGACAGTACACGTAGGAACCAGAGCAGCTCAGCACAGGGTGGCTGGAGAGAGTAGACAAGGGTCAGAAGTGGAGTCCCTTGAGAACAGGAGGGAAGGGAAGAGCAAGGGGAAGCCCAAGGGTTCAAGCTGTGGAGTGAGTGAGGGTAGAATGAGGCCGAGGAAGGCTGGCTTCAGTAGATGGTAGGTGCTGCTGGCGAAACACAGAACAGAGGAAGGGAAAAGAGACCCCATTGGAAGACCTTTGGTTCATGTCCTTTAACAAAGTCCTCTCCCTCGACTTATATCCTACCTCCCACACCAGTAGCAATTGGGATTTTTTTAGGATTAAATGGGAAGAGCTGATAGAGAAATGAAAGGTCTCAATGACCTCCATTCCCACTGAGCCACCCCAGGTCTCTCTGTCCACCATTCTCCTAGGTAGGATCTTAATAGGAAAAAAACTGACTGAGATTGGGCTCTGGGGGCAGAAAGGAGGAAGCTGTGGGAATTCTCATCTACAGGAAGGCTGCTCAAGGATGAGGGAAGTCTCTAAACGTAGAGATGATTCTTGTAGTGCAACAGCAACCAGCTGTGCTTTCAAACTGCCTGAGTCCATGATGCACTGCTTCTGAGCTACTTCTGCAAATCCACTCCAGACCAATAGGGGGCGCGCTCGCCATGTTCCACCAGGCCTAACAGGAGGTGCTAACTGACAAAAATGGGAGTGGGGGGTGGGAAATGGAGAACATTTTATCTTCTTGGAGAATGTGTTCAAGAAGTCATCTCCATTTACCCATCCACTCATTGATACTCTCATGTATTGTTTTAGCCATTGTCAAGTGTTTCTTCTTGTTGTTCAGTGCTGTTGAGTTGACTCATAATAACCCTATAAACAACAGATCTGAATTATATTCTGATCTCTGATATACCTGAGCTTATTGCTGCAGTCAGCAGGTCACTCCATCTTCCCCCTTTAGGAGTCTTTTTCTCTTTTGCTAACCCTTCACCTTTTCCAAGGAATAGTGTCTCCTACGGCGCAGGAGGGGAAGGCCCTCTATGAGGTGGATTGATTCAGTGACTGGGATAATCGGGATGGGAGTGTCAGAGACAGTGCGATTGGCACAGGACAGAGCAGAGTTTAGGGCTGTTGTACATAGGATCGCTGAGTCGCAAGCGACTCGACGGCACATAACAACAACAACAACAGTAACAGGTCCAAAGAATGAGAGGCGAAACTTTGCCATCCTTGCCTTGTTGTTTTTGCCATCGAGTCTCCTGTGACTGATAGTGACCCTATGTACATTAGCTCTGAATCTTGCCCTAACCAGAGCCAATCTCATCATCTCCCACACACCTAGCCCCATTTCCCCAGTCACCGAGTCAATCATCTCATCCTGGGTCTTCCTCTCCTGTGCTGTCCCTCCACCCTTCCAAGCATGATGTCCCTCGCCAAGAACTGGCCTAGTCCTGGCCGTGTGCCCAAGTATGAGACAGAGCTTCAAGGTCCATGTTCCCAGGGAGCAGCCTGGTTTCCCTCGCTCTTTGATAGACCTTAGGACCTGTTTAAAAGGACCTCTGAATGCTAGGTTACATATATACCATCTGCATTGCTTAGGAGCAATAGGTAGAGAGGAAGTCTTCTGAACGATGGCAAATGACACTCTGATATTTGTCCTGACTGCCACTTAGCTCCTGGGTTCTTAGCTGCCACAGCTATAAAAATGGGGCCAATTAGGCTGCCCCATTTGCCCTGATGAGCACTAAGAAGATGGCTTCCCAGTTGTTCAAGAGTTGAGCCCCATGCCTCACTGTCATCATCCTGTCTACCCCCACAGTATGGTGGGGATCACATAGAAGATGAGAAGGTACTTTGTGTGAAGATATAAGCTCTGTTATTTTAGGATAAAGTACATACATACAGGGCTTCCAGATTCCCATGAAACAGATGACATATTTCATTGGCACATTAAGGAGGCCAAGTCTCTGATGTTACAAGGATGGGAGTGGGTGGATAGGCTAAGATAGTCCTCTCCCTCCGCCCTCCAACTTTCATAGGAAGAGAAAAGCAAAAGAGATCCGTGCTTGGGGAGGTAATAAAAATCCTAGTACCTGCTATAATGCTTTTTCACCCACAGAAATGATTTTTTCCAGTCCCTTGATGTATAGATGAGGATCCAAGTTAAAAAAAAGGAAAATAGTTGCCCAAGATCATGTAAGTGTGGTAGGGCAGCACTTCAAGCCAGATGGGGTTGGTTCCAGGAACTCCTCAGGCTCCGAGCTTATTCTCAGTGGTTGCCCAGTCAGGAACCTGCTCAGCAAAGGGCACACTGAATTGTGAAGCCCAGGACATGAGGTATTGAGGGGTTCTGTGGGTAGAACATTTCATTTTATCCTTTAGTTCAGAAATAATTTCAGAAATGAGAGAGGCAGGTGTTACCTCCCAGGGTTGGCTGCAGAGGCAATTTTTATTTTCTCCCTTATATTTTCCAAACCCTGTAATTTTTATAACCCTCAGAAAGCATTTTTTAAAAAGAAGAAGAAGAAGAAAATTGGAGTGCAGTGAAATGCCTAGCTGTGCACTGAGATACACCAGGCAAGGCCAAAAGGCCAACCAGCATTGGTCACGCTGGGCTGCAGTCCTGGCCCAGAAGTCTGGAAATGTACTAACCTCCTCCTGGAATCCAAGGCCACCCAGGAAAGCTCACTCAACCTCCTTAACTTTTCTTACACTATTTCCCACTCCCAAGATACAACTCTTCCCTGGCCACCATCAAACTGGACTGCCTTTTCCGGGTCCAGCAGGAATTGTTTGGAAGCCCCACCTCCTCTAGAAGGGATGGACATCCCCTGCTCTGATCCCTGGAGCACTTCACTTGAACTTGCTTTGTAATCCTGACCACATTCTGTCTTGACCTTGTGTTCGCACCGGGGTCTGTGAGTGCTTCTGGACAGACCCTCCCTGTGCATGAGTCCTTGGCATTCCCTGTGCCATCCTCAGCCTGGCATATGCCAGGCTTCAAATGAATGTTTGCGGAACTTAATTGATAATGGAGCTTAAAAGTGGGATACTGTGATGGACCGGTGAAAGGCGGGCTTTCTCAACCTCAGCATTATTTGGGATTGGGTAATTCTTCCTTGTGGGGGGCTGTCTAGAGCATTGTAGGGTGTTTAGCTACATGCTTGGTCTCTGTCTATTTGATGCCAGTAGAACTTTCTTATTTGACAAATGAAAATTTGGATATTGCCAAATGTCTAAGAAAGCAGCCTCTCCTGGAAGACCATTGGTAAATAGTTTATAAGATAAAGTTTTCATAATGAGGAGGAGTAGGAACTCCTCTTTGATGAGAAAACCAAGGCTTGTGACAACTGTAGAAAGAAAATCTTGTGGCCGGTTCTCTTACTCTAAGTCTAGCACTGTCTCACCAGCCCATTGCCTTTCAGGACCCCAACAAGGTCTTTGCTTCCCCACTTTAGTGTGTCCTTCTTTGCTTCCACCCCCACATTCTAGCTTCTGCCCCACCCCCTCCTTTTTCTTCTTCATTCCTGTGGCCTGTGTCAGGACAGGTCTCTCTGGTTGACCCTCCTGGTCCATGCAGACTGGACCCCAGGCTGTGCCTGCACCCGCCCCATCATCACATCTTCTTCAGCTCGGTGGGCTCCTCTCCATGCTTGAACACGCTGATGGTGACCTGGCCTGTCTCGGAGCCATACTTGTTCTTGACAAAGACACCATAGCGTCCACTGTCCTCACTTTTGACCTTGTCGATGGTAATGGTGACCTCTGTCCCTCTCACCTCCATGTGGTAGCGGTCAAGGAAGGTGACAGGTTGGTCATTCTTTAGCCAGAGGATTTCAGGGGCCGGGTCACCTGAGATGACGCAGGTTAGGCACAGAGTCTGTTTTGAAAGACAGGAAGAGAATGTTCAATCTCACCTTGGCTGATAAGGCCTGGTACTCACCTTCACTTCCCAGGACAAACTGCTCTTTGTGATAAACTCATTACATTAGTTTTATAATCAGCCATAAAATGGTAACATTAAAGGGAGACATTCTATCCTAACTCCATAACTCTCTATTTCAGACCATAGCTGTGCTAAGCAATTGTTTGCCAAAGAATTTTATTTGTTTTTTGTTGTATCTACATCATTAGCATTTTACTATGCAAATAAAAGGAAAATAATTTGGTAAAAAAGATTCTGTGTATTGAGTTTGAAAACTCTAGAACAAGGTCTACTGCCTATTGTAATGATTAAACACACAGGCTCTGGGTGTGAATCCCAGCTGTTCCATTAAGCTGTGCCACCTAAGTCTGTTAACTTCTCTGAACCTCAGTTTCCCTGGCTGTAAAATGGGACATGTTTCATGTAGTTGTTTTATTGATTTTAAAAAAGTAATTTTATTTATTTTGTTGTTATGTTATTGAGGATGTGCACGGTAAAATCTATTCCAGGCAGGGCTGGTGGTGTAGTGGTAAAGTGTTACACTGCCTACCCAAAGTCTTCAGTTCAAACCCACCAGCTGCTCCACAGGAGGAAGATGGGGGGTTGCCCCCTGTGTGATTTACTGCCTCTGAAGGTTCCCTGGAGGGTCAGCTACGAGTCAGTTCTGACTCGACAGTAAACAACAATAACAAACATAGATACCAATACAACAATTTCTATATGTGCCATTTAGTGATATAAACTACATTCTTTGATTTATAAAACTATGCTTGGCTTTTTTTTTTTAAAAAAAACACCCCACCCTATTTCTTCCCTATTAACATAAATGCACTATTCTCTAAACCAAAAATCAAACCCAATACTAACAAGTCCATTCCAACTCATGGTACCTCAATTAGGTTTCCAAGGCTGTAAATTCTTATGGGAGGAGACTGCCCAATTATTTGGCCTTGGAGCAGCTAATGGGTTCTAACTGCCAACCCTTCCTTTAGCAGTACAACAACTAACACACTATGCCATGAGCTCTTCTTACTGCCTCTTAAGGTTCCTAGCTAATCTTTTGACTGTTATTGTTATGTGCCATTGAGTCATCTGTGACTTATAGAGACCCTCTGAACCCTGCCCTATCCTGAGACAGTCTCACTGTCTCTGACATATCTTCCCCTATTACCCAAACAGTGTCAACTGTTAACAATTCCATTCCATGCAGATAGTTCTTAAAAAGGTATAAAGCTTGAGGCGGGCATTTTTTTTTAAATAACCTAAACTATTGAAGAATTGATGCCTTTGAGCTGTGGTGCTGGAGAAGAGTATTGAGGGTACCATGGACCGCTAGGAAAACAAACAGATTCATCCTGGAAAGGGTGAAACTGGGTGGCTCCTTGGAGGCAAGGATTCTGAGGCTCTGTTTAACATACTTTGGACATGTTGTGAGGAGAGACCGGTCCTTGGAGAAGGACACCATGCTTGGTAGGGTGGAGGAACAGTGCAGGAGGGGAAGGCCCTCTAGGAGGTGGATTGATTCAATGACTGGAGTAATCGGGATGGATGTATCAGAGACAGTGTGATTGGCACAGGACAGAGCAGAGTTTAGGGCTGTTGTACATAGGGTCGCTATGGGTTGCAAGTGACTCGACGGCACATAACAACAACAACAACAAACTATTGTAAAATACAATACAATACAATAAAATACAAATACAATACAAACTCCTTTAAAATAAAGGAGGCTTCAGGAGGTGTTTTTGGTGTGGGCTTTGATGCTTAAGTAAGCTAAAATATTTAATATGTATGGGCAGGGTCTGGCACGAACAAGTCACCATATACATGTGAGCTGTAATTTTCTAGGATACTTATCTGTTGTTGTTAGGTGCTGTGACCCTGTGAACAGTTCTGAACCTTGTCCTATCCTGAGCCATTTGAAATATGTCTGATTATGCTTGAGTCCATTGTTACAATCATGTATCAATTTAGCTTGTTTTTCCTCTCTTTCTCTGACCCTCCGATTTCCCAGCATGATGTCTTTTACCTAAGGACTGGTCCTACACCACTAAACTTGCAGTATTTCAGCCCTGAGATCAGGGTGCTCCTTGGAGGCTAGGGTGGGGAAACTTTTCTTGCATCCTTTAGGCCTGTTGGTAGAAGGGGCCAGTCCTTGAAAGAAAGACATGCTCGGAAGGGTGGAGAGTGAGGATAAGAAAGGAAGACCCTCAGCACGATGGATTAACAGTGTGACCGTAACAATGGGATCCAGTGCATCAGAAATGGTTAGGCTGGCACAAGATAGGGCAAAGTTCCGATCTGTTGTTCATAGGGTCGCTCTGAGTTGCCGTCAACTTGATGGCATGTAACTACAAGAACAACAATGATGGCTTTCAGCCAGTCCGCATTCTGTGGAAACTGAAGGCCAGAGTAAGTGTGATGCCAGAGCTACCTAGAGAGATGGGAGCAGGGTGCCGGTCCAGGCTCACCCTGCGCCTTTCCCTGGTACTACATCTGTACGCAGCCAATGAGGTGAAGTCAATCTGCAAAGTCTGGCTCTTGAACCGGTACCACTATAGTGTTTCGTCATCCGTGATTAACACCTAGGAGGCGAGTGTCTGTGACAAAAGAGCCCGTACCTTGTCCTCCATAATCGTGGCCACGTCTGGCAGGCCCCTCACCACTTTGGCACGATCTGGAAGAGAAAAAGAGACCCAGGGATGACTCCATTCATGCCGGCTGCTTTACTGAGGCAGGTTTCTACATAGCTGAGATTTCTTTTTAAGCACTGCTTATTTCCCCTCCTATTTTGATAATTTTTGCATGAAAATATTTAAAATGTAAAGATATTTGCCATCAAAATATGGTCTATGCTATTGTGGCATTATCACAATATCACAATTACCTTTGCTGTCAAGTCTGAATTGGATCATTCCTTACCCTCCACTAGGTTTTCAGAGGCTGTTAATCACACGAGAGGAGCTTCTCCTACAAAGAAGCTGATGGATTTGAACTACCTGCCTTTGGGGTTGGCTGTGCAACTGCTTACCCATTAAGCCACCATGGAATGCTTTTAGATGGCATTTTCACCAAAGTCTTCTAACTCCCACCAAACAATTGGGTGAGACTATGTATATGTATAGGGAGCTCTGGTGGCCTAGTGGCCAGAAGCTGTGCTGCAATCCTGAAGGTACACTGTTCAAATCCATGAGCTGCTGTGTGGAAGAAGGATGGGCCATCTCCTCCTGTGCAATTTTCTGCCTTTGAAAACCCACTGGAGGGTCAGCTATGGGTCGATTCTGACTCAAAAAGTCACCACCACCACCACCACCACCACCACCACAACGACAACATGCATAATAAATAGGGAGCTCTGCTGCCTAGACGATGCAAAGGCATGTGGTTCAAATCTACTCACTAGTTGTTTTGCAGGAGGAAGATGGATAATCTCCTCCTGTGCTATTATTTACAGTATCTGAAACCCCACTAGAGGGTCTGCTATGGATCTGTTCTGACTCAATGTTGTTCAACAACAGCATGTAGATATAGATAGAGATAGAGAGAGAGATAGAGATATAGAGATAGAGATATATAGATATATAGATAGATATCTCAGAGATATATATAAATATCAAGATCTCAGAGATATATATAAATATTTATTTATATTTAAATAATATAATAAGCAATAATGTCAATTTACAGATACACCTGATTCAGGCCATGGTGTTTTCAATCATTTGCTACATTATCTGAGAGCTAGACAATAAATGAGGATGACAGAAGAGGAATTGATGCCTTTAAATTGTGTTGGAGAAGAGTACTGAGTATCCCGTGGACTGCCAAAAGAACAAATGGATAGGTCTTGGAGAAAGTGCACTGAAAGTGTTCCTTAAAGGCAAGGATGGTGAAGCGTCATCTTACATACTTTGGGCTTGCTGATAGGAGGGGCTATTCCTTGGGGAAGGACATCATGCTTGGAAAGGTGGAAGGTCAGCAAAAGAGGAGGAGACCCTCAATGAGGTGGATTGACACGGTGACTGCAGCAATGGGTTTGAATATGTCAGAGATGATAAGGATGGCAGGATAGGACAGGGTTCCAATCTATTTGTTGTTCATAGGTTTGCTATGACTCTTAATTTACTTGACAGCACCTAACACTAACATGCATACAGATACTTGGAGGGATTGGATACCTTGCTAAGGACTCAGTTAAAGCACATAGAGCACTGTGGTAAGCAGGCCATTAACTAAGATGCATGGAACCCTATCAAGGGGGTTAGTTTACCATTCCGCTGGGCTTAAAATGAGCTACATTGGAGGTGGAAAGCAAGGAACCTGACTATCACTATGACAGAAGTATAGCATGTGCTTTGAACTGAAGCCCCTGCTCTGGGAAACCTCCTAGACCGCAAAACAGAGTCCTAACAACAGAGACAATGAGAGGCAGCAGCAGTGAAACTGCAGTGGCAGAACCAGGAAACCAGCAGGAGGCAGTGTCATGGGCTTCTCAATGTACAGAGTGACAGAGCCCAATGCCTTTGGACAGGAGACTGGCTGGAGGAGTGGCAGTGCATCTGAGCATTTATTAGTGGAGCTGAAAAGCTTTGTAACACTTGCCTATAAAAGGCAGAGACTGAGGTGACTGAAGAGGCTAGAGATGCCAAGGTCCAAAGAGCCAGGAAAGTGTGAGGTCTTCCTGTAGTCATGGCTGAGAAGAAGCTGTCCTCACTGAAGAACTATACTCAGAATCATTTCAGATTCTGTATTATCACCTATTACTTCCCACTTTC